TGTCCTCTGGGCAGGTTGAACTATTGTGGAAAGTATTCTTCTGTATTTCTCATCACCACACAGCCCCTTGGTCAGTTGCAAATGTTCTCTCATTCTCATTCTCACACTGTTTCCCTCCCTCCTTCTCTCACATACACAGACAAGAGCACACCTTAATATTTCAGCTAGAAATCTTGTGTGGAGTTTATATACTGGTAAAGATACACTGGGATTAAAGGCAGGATTAATTGAAATCTTAACTACACCATAACGTAGGAATTCTGCCATAATTTTGTTTTGGCTCTCCATTAAATATAAGAGGACATTTCCAATCATACCAACCCCTTTATCAGTGTAATGCTACACTGATGCAATAGTATTAGGATGAAACACAGTTCTTCTTCCAGTATCCTATTGGCAGAACATCATAGTAATAAGGATATGTTTATGTATTACCATTTTTACTCAGAAGAGTAAATCTCAAAATCAGTTGGTAAAAGAAACTTTCATTAAATCCTACTTTTCCCACCACGTCTACCATAGTGATTGGCATCTTAGTTAGACTCCATCTAAAGTTCCATTTGAAATGGTTTCTACAGAATTGTATTTTGTTAAGCTAAGGCCAGTGTAACTCCATGTTAGGTCCTGTGCTGTTCAACTAAGGCCATTCAGAAATTAGTTCTGAATGGTGTACCGCAAAACTCCCATTTTAAGTCTTGTGATGTTCAACATATTTTTAAGCAATTTGACTACAGGATTAGTATCTATGATTATCAAATTTGCTCATGACATGAAGATGGGGAGACAGCAAATTCCTTAGTAGATAATATAAAAATTCAGTAGTAACACATATGAAAAGGATTTAGGTGTTTTAGCAGATTACCAGCTGAATATGACCCAACAATGTTGTGCAGCTCCAAAAAAGAAACAAGAAAAAGCAATCCTAAACTGCATTAATGGAAGTAGAATATCAGGACAATATAAATTATTGTTCCTCTCTCTTCTGCATTAATAAGACTATTTCTAGAATACTACATCCAGTTGTAGGCACATATTTTAGAAAAGACACGGTCAAACTAGAACATGCCCAATGGGAGCCACCAATATGATAAAAGGCCTGGAAAGCAAAACAAAAAACAAAAATACTTATAAGAAGCAGGTGGAAGTTTTGGTATGTTTAGCTTGAAGATGAAAAGACTGCAGAGACAAGGCAGATGTCATCAAATCTCTGAAAAGCAGTCCTATTGGACAGAATTTAGACCTGTTCCAGAAAACAGGACAAGCAAAAAAATGGGTTTAATTTAGCAGGTAGTAGAGGGGGGGGGGCTGTGTGTAGATTTTACTAGAACATAAAAAATGGTAAGAATTGTTCAGTATTGAGCAGATTGCCTCAGGAAGTGGTGGACTATTTAAACAGAGACGGTGTTTAGATAGAGACTGGGTTAGCATCCATAGACAATGTTATAGTACTAGATTTGTGCATCAGCAGAAGGATGAATCTCCAAGTTAACTTCCAACCCTTACATTATACAAGTAGCATTTCACAGAGAATACAAACTACAAGAAAAAATATCCAACTACTGAAGTCAAATGATGTAAGTTTAACTGATGCAATATAGCATGCTTCACATGGGCTAAGAAACTGTCAAAGTATCACCAACATTCATTCATTCATTCATTCATTCATTCATTCATTCATATATATGTAAATATTGTTATATACCATCATCTAGAGATTCTTCCCAGGTGATCTTGAATGTCTATTCATGAGACAAACATAACAGAAATATTTTGCCATGGGATAAAAATCTATTAAGTAGACTTCTAGTTATCTATTACATTTATATCTGACTTCCCCTTCAGGTGTTCAAGATGCCATATATAACAGTGCCTCTCTAATATTTCTCACAACTTCATGGGGAGTTTAGGTAGAAAAAGACATGGCACAAAGTCACTCAGTGAGCTTCCATGGCTGACGTAGATTTGAACCTAGGTCTCCCCAGTCTTCAGTCAGCATGTTCATCTCTATCCCATACTACTTTATTAAAGTCTTTCCAGTTATTAAATATTAAAATATGTCCAGTTATTAATATATTCATGTTTTTTCCTATTCTTTTAAAAATTATAACTGTGTAGAGCAAAATGTTCACTGGCACATATTGATATTACTATAGCTACAGTTGAACACTACACTAATCCAAGATTACTGAATTAACCAAAATGCTTGATTCACATAACACTTTAAACCATAAACTAAGCATAGTGGATTATTTAACACAATGTATTAAACCATGAAATAGTCAATATTTTATCCTAGAATATTGTGCAAAGTCACCTTGCATATCTCTAATTACAAACTATGCTTCAGGAAATGTATGAATCACAAAACTGGGAAACAGTATAAATTGATCCTATATGTTTATTTAAACCATCACTTTTAATATTTGAATCTGATATTGATTTCTCCACTTTTTCTTGATATAAGCATGTCTTTAATAAGTGTAGGATATATACTATAGTACATTCTATTAGATTATATTAATTTATCCCAATACCACTTCTTTGGTAACTAGCAATGCTTCCCAAACATATGCAAGAAACTATGCAAAACTGTCATCATTCAACATACTACTTTTTGCTCTATTGGGGAGGCAAGCTCAACTTCATGTATAGTTGATTTTGTTTCACATAAATTGAATTCAGAGTGATTCTTAACTAACTACATGAGCAATATAGGGAATCAGTGCTGACCATTTCAGTTATACTGCATATGAAATTTTATTCCTTTAAGAAACTTTTTGCTTTTTCAAAAAAAGCAAGATACATCCTGAATCAGGACAAATTCATCAACCTCCCTTGATTCCCATCATGAATCCAATGGCAAGGATGAGAAATTGCTGTTGTATCCAGATTCCTGATGCAGGAAAAAGATATGGAAATGTATCATACATATCAGAAATTCCAGAAAAGAAGTGCAACAAGGTGCCACTGTTGCATTCCATTTTCTACATGGATGCTGTAAGTATGAATAATCTAGAAGTCAATGGATACTCAAAAAATAAGGATGTGTAATACTCTTTGGTTCAAGAAGAGAACATTCTGGATAACTCACAAACTTTCTGTTCCCCTCTAGATTGTGCTATTCTGGGAAAGTTCAGTAGTTTCCAAGAAAAAAATCCCTGAAACTGGATTTTGGAATACCATGCTTCAGATTACTTTCAGTTTGAGGAATTTACATTTAGAAACTAGTAACTGTCTCTAGAACAGCATAGTCCAGAAGAGCTTCAGTACAGTCTAGAACACTCCTGAACCAGTTTGTATCTTCCCACTGAAAAAACAAAGACTATATTGTATAAATATGAAATATGTAAGTAATTTTAAAAAACACTCTAGCAGAGCTTCGGTCTCTATCATTTTCATTCTTCTCTCTATCACAATATTATATTAGCACTATATAAACATTTCTGGTCTTACAAGTGTATACTTTCCAGTACCAGTAACACAGTTATAGGAGTTCAATTTTGTTCAATAGGTATTCTGAATTCAAATTATTTATTCTATAGAAAGCATAACCCTTCTGCCTATCGATAGTCCTCAACTTACAACTGGCTGCTTAGTGACCATTTGATGTTCCGATGGACATACCTGGTGGGTACTTATGATCCAAATCTGAAGTTTTGACAACTGACCGCCATGAGTCATGTGAACGCACTTCTGGTACTCAGCAACCAGGTCATATTTATGGTGGTTTGCAACATTCTGCGGTTATGTGATCACATTTTACAAAGTTTTGCCAAAAACAGTATTTACTTCTGATTTCCACCAAAGCCGCATTGGTTTGCTTTAAAACCATGATGTTTGCTTAACTATCACAGATTCACTTAACGACTAGGGTCAACTTTACAAACATCACAATTGTGATGGGCAGACTCCATTATTGTATCATGTTATGATAAAACTATTTGGTTTCAAAATCCTGAATGTAATCAAAGTTGTCTTGGGCATGCAACTTTCATTCTGACTATATCCAAATGATTGAGAATTGGGTTAATCAGCTAAAATACCATGTGAGTTCAATTTTCAATGACCTAAATACAATTGCACAATTTTACTTATACAATTGTAGTTGTACTTATACTTTGAGATTTTATTTAAACTGGAAATCTTTATGTTAGCTGATTATCAGGTGCAGAATCTTAAAAATATGGATTAAAATTGATTTTAAGATGTTGGTTTATTCTGATCTTAGTAACTATGGTTAGCTGAAAATTTCTGGTTTGCATTTATGCACGCAAAGAACATACTAGAATTGGATGTTTTCATATTTTCTACCATTTATTATTTTTATTATTTTAAAATGCTTTTAAAAATGTAACTGTAATATATATTTTGAATTGTAAGCAACCCAGTCTTTTCCTGAGATGAGTAGCTGTAAAAATTGAGCAAATAAAAAAATAAAAAATATTGAGTTGAGCAAATAGCAGAAACTCTGTTCATATATTAGCTTATTCAACCAAGATAGGCTGACCAAATTGAGCTAACCTTTTTGTGAAAAACTAACCGGAAATAGTGACCAATCAACTAATGCCTTGGGTAAAAAAATTAGAGAAAGGAAAATTCTGGGTTCCTTCAAATCATTTGTAATTGCAGCTCTTTTTGAGACCTTCATTATTAAGTCTTATTCATACTGTGATATTCAATATGCTCAGCGCCCAGTAGAATGAAAAAGATGGGGACAAACCAGAATTGCTGATTTAGTCTAGGGCTGGACTTTCTTTCCTCAGCTCTCCAAATCCTAATGCTCTCCAACTACCACTGCACAGAGTTGTTGTATCTCATAAACACCAATATATGCATGCTTTCTATTTATAGCAGACAGTTTCATTTTATATGTTAAACCATCTACAAAAATGACATAATATTTTAGATTTCTTAGAAGATAACCTGTTTTTTGAATAACTCTTTCATTATCCTTTTGGATGGATATTCAGTTTCCCTCCCATGCCCATAAATTTACTCACTAGGGATCATTGGTAAATCGAGGAAGTCGTGGCTGAGGGAAACCATAAAGATGACAGTAGAGTACATCAAAGCAATAGCAGCACATCTCCGCTGTCACGACTAGATTTTTGGTGCTGTTGGCAGTTCCATTAGGCCGGGCAAGTGGGCTCAATGCTCCTGAAGTGGGATTCATTCGAGTAATTGGAGAATTTCCAGGGCATAAAGTCAAATCCGATACATTCTCCCTTCCACTGCCCCCATCTCCATGCTGGTGGTTCTGAAGAGGACCTGAACTAGAGACTGGCACAGTTGTGGCTTGATTCCCGTGACTATGTGTTCCACTTCCAGACAATTTGGGTTTCTTTACCCCACAACAGCCTGCTGCCAACTTGGGCTCAAGTGGAGGAACACAGCGTCTTTTTCCCATCCTGATTCAGCACCTACTGTCTGAAGCACTGTAGAACCCTGATAAAACACACAATATGCAACATATGTCATTTCATTAATGAAAAAATATATAACAAAGTACTTTTTCCAGTAATAAAACAGCATATTTCACATTATAACATACGTATTATACAAGAAAACTTGCATATGACCTAGCCAAAAATTAAACAGAAAAAATTGAGATTACATGACATCAAAAGTTAATTTAAAAATGGATCAGCAATTCTGGACTAATCAGAAATCGTTGGACTACCATCTTATGTAGTTCTCAAGTTATTACAATTGGGACCGGGATTGCTATTGCTAAGTGATGTGGTCATAAAGTGTGATGTCACATGACCGCATCACTTAGCAATGACAATCCTGGGCAATCCTGGTTGCCACTGTAATCCTGAGATATGCTAGTCGGTAAGTGGAAAGTGGCAGGAGTTCTAGGGCTGTGCAAGTTACGGGAGATAGGAGAGAAGCTTTCAAGTGTGAAGCTTCAACTAATATCTTGTCTGGAGTGCAAAACTGTTGTTTTGACTACAGCTTGGCTGCTTGAATGTTTTGGAAGTATTCCAAGCTAAAACCAGAATGAGATCTAAAATGCTTGAAACTGCATGTTTCATACTTGAAATAGGACATATTGTGAAATTTGAACTTGAAAAATTTAAAAATGAGCAGATCCCTACTTTCTACTTTTGGAAATAATAGTCAGAGAAACCCAAGAATGATATTTCTTTTTTACTTAGGCTTCTGTTCCTATTAAAAAAATATTCTGTATCAAGACAGATGGTTATCCACACCTGCTATTTATTCGGACAAATACAATTTTTCTTTCCTTGCAGCCACCCTGCATTGTCTTCTAGAAACAAAATGGCGGTATCTTGATATCTTTGTATTAGTGAGGGCATCCATTCTTGGAAGTGTTATTTCCTCAGTTATAATTGGGCAATGTGGTACAAGCGATTCCTACTGGCTTTGATCAGGGAATCCCAAATGATAACGTAAATACTTCAATCTCTGGCAGAAGAGCTGTTTCTGCAGCATAACTAGCTTTATTTCAAATTATAATGTGAGCAGAAAAGCATTCTTAGCTGTAGGCCTCAAACTCTTTCATTGAATGACTGAAACAAATTATTACCCCAAAATGTGATAAAGATAGCAAAATTTGTAAAAATATTAAAAAAACATATTTCTACACTGGCAGCTAATATGCTAAATAAAACTTCAGCATGCAATATATTTATAAATCTATGTTTATACTAAATTGATACCGTTTACAACTATGTGAGAGAACTGTATAGTAATACTATGTGCAAAAGTTCTAAAAATGTGTATACACAATGCAGGTATTTAACACAATACTTCATGTTAAATATTTGTAAACATCAGTCTCCAAAAGATTAAGAATTAAGTACCTATTCAGTTCCTTTTGAGAGAAAGAAAATAAGAGGAAAAAATTGCACAGCTAGAAGATGACCTTCCCACTTTGCTGGAGTGTGGAACAGCAACAGCTGTCACAAATGTTAGCATTACCATTTACATGCTATTTGCATTTTTACACAAACAAGCTTTTGTATATTAGGCTTCAGATAAATGCTTACTGAAAGCAGAAACCTTGTACTGCCAAGGAGGAAGTGGACAGGTGGAAGGGGAAGCTATTTTATTTCTGGAATGAATTTCCTTTTCTCATGGCCCATTCCTGTTTTCAAATCTGAAAAGAAATAAAACCCATAAATTTTTAGATGAGCACCATTAGAGTGTTAGCTATCAACAGACGTGCAAAAGTGACTAAATATACATTCCAAAACATTTCCTACATGGATTTAAAGTAATTCTATCTCAGTGTCTGGAACAAATTTTCTTTAATATATAGCATAGATGGAGGGCATTGTAGAAAAAAATGAGAAAAGTAAAGTAGAAGAATACAAATTATTAGAAATATCCAAGAACAAGGAAGGACAAGGACGTGAACTTATCACTGAAATATGTAAGATTGGTGATATAAAAAGATTAGCATTGGGGAAAGAAAGTGACCTGGAATAACAAATAACCTTTATTAGAAAAATGTCTACAGAGGAAATCAAGAATTTTCAGAAAATTTCTTCCAACATTCAAGTGGTGACTCTTCCTTCTAATTAAGGCACAACTATATGCACACTTAAGTTTCCCTTGACCCCCTCCCCAATAAAAATAGGCAGAATACTGTAAATGATTGACTGTAGCTACAATTCTAAGAACATATTAGGGACCAATTGTACTGATGTGGGGCATGTTCCTGTATAGAGGCACTATTGTACATACAGAACAGTACAGAACAAGGAACAACCTAGATTATCTTAGCAAACGCAAAAATATAACTTGGATTCTCTTCGTTCATACATTTTTCCCAACACCATGCTATATAATTTAACATGGCAGGAAAGCAGCAAGGAAAATTTAAGCTTGCCAAAGTCCCCCCGTGAGCTGGATCCGCTCCAACCGGGGTTTTGATCCTAACGTGGCTACCGCATGCTCGCCAAGAAACTGGCAATCAAATAGACTCAAGACCCCGACCTAAGTGAGGCAGTGGACCAGAACAAACGTGAAGGGAGGCTGCTTAAGAGGACCCGCTGGCCTGGCAGGAAAGGGAGGCAGCAAGGAAAGCTTCCAAGTTTGCCGGCAGGCCAGGAGACAGGAAAGCGCGCTTACACGAAGGTCTGAAGCTTCGCCTGCGGGATAAGAGGCGAGGCAAGCGGTCTGCGGTGAGATCTGAGGTGAGCCGAAAGGCTGGCTACACTCTGTGCCTGCCTCTCCCCCCTCCCCCAGGGACGGGGCTGCCCCAAAAGAGCCTGACACCGCGCACCTTTTCTTTCCTTGACGCGAAGACGGTTCCCTACTCCAATTACTTTTCAACCTAACCACCGCCGTCGCCACCACCACCGCCGCCGCCACCGCCGCTCCTCCTGCTCTTGCCTCCTCCCCGCCGCCGCCGCCGCCGCCGCCGCCACCACCTCTACTACCCCGCGCTTCATGGAGCCATGGGCCAGGGCGGGCGAGAGCTGGAGAAGTGGACCCAGCCGGGCAGGGGAAGGGAGGACAAGACAGGCTGCGGGAAAGAACCGCACAGCAGAATCGGACGAAGAATCGCGGAGTCGCCGCCGGCTAAACAGAGCTGAAGCAAGGCAGGAGAGCCCCGGGTCCTCCACCTTCCCGGCGGTCCCTTCTCTGAGTGTGAGGTAATGGGAGAGGAATGTGCACACCGACCTCCCATCGGCCCCGTGAAAACCATAGACAGAGCGAGGACAGTTTCTCCAAAAGAACCATAGATGACAGGAACTTCCACCCACCGCATAGTGAGCCGTTAAAGAGGTCACGTGAGAAGCCCTGGCGACTATAGAGAACGAAGGGAAATGGAGAAGGTCGTCCTTTTAACGGATACTAGAGTTGATTGCGTATGTTAGGCTTTCGTTTGGAATTTCCTCAAAAGGCTATTTTGTCGGTACACCGGTAAGAACTGGCAGCCTCAGGATGATTAGGACAAGCTTGTTACGTCTTTAACAGCACGAGGGCGAAGAAAATAGGTCGTGAAAAGTACTTCGGGACAACTGGTCAATGTTTAGAAGCGCTGGCCTCTTTTGTACTCGTCTAGCTAACGATGTGATTTTATTTTTTTTTAAAAATCTAGTGTTGCAATTCAAAAACGCTCTGTTCTATCGATCAGGTTTTTTTTTCTTTTTCTTTTTTAATTCTATCACATAAATTAGAAATGCATTATTTTTCAGCCCAAAGTCTCACCACTTCAAGTGCACTCTTAAAAAATTGGAAACCAAACTACCGGTTTAGAAGCTCCGGCTAGGGTTAGGCTGTGTCTTTTCTTGCATATGGCCAATTTCTCACGGGACGAAGATTGACTGCGGTTAATAGCATTATATACATCTCAAAAGTGGGACTTTTTATAAAAAAAAAAAAATCGTGCAACAATATGCCTTTTAGACTTCTTCAAAAATTTTACAACATATACATTGCAGGTAATGTATAGCTACAGTTTACCTGATTGTAGAAAGTAAGGTGAACCAAATGGAAGAGAACTTTTTTGTTGAAATACCTCACTTTCCGCAAAGCTGTTATTGGCTACTAATCTGAGCCCCTTATTGGCAATATTTCAAAACACAGGTCAGCCAATAAACTAACATTTACATAATGCTGCATCTAAGTACATAGTAGACTATTATTAATGTCATGCATCTGTGTACATAATCTTCTATTTAAGACTTGTTATCCAGTTACATCTTGACTTTTTGTGATCTGATGAATATAGTTTTGCCAAGACTGTTTGCTCATGCTTGGGTGATTGGTGACATTATTTAACCACTTTTTCTTCCTGTCAACTTCTTTTTCAATTGTTTTCAATTTTTCTGAAATTCATGAAATAGCTTTATTGCATTTGTTAACTAGTACAAGAGAATTAGAATTCAAATATCCAAAAACTTAACTGATAACACCAGAATAATTAGGAAAGATATATACAAACAAAGAATTTGGATTAAAAGACAAAATATTAAGGGCATGCTCAGGCTGCATATATTGAACCAAGGAGAAAAGAAATTAAAATTTCCAGCCTGGTTAATATAAACTTTAAAATAGCAATATAAAATAGATACACCCACACAGACGTATACACTTCAATTTTCCTGAAAATCAGGTTCTTTTCCAATAGCACTTGTTTCTGTGAAAAGACATTCTCTACAGAATTATGAAGATTTAGCTTCATTATTTTTCCACTGAGCAGTCTGATTTTATTTCAGTATTATTTGCTCTTTCTGTAACTTCATTAATTTTCTCCAGAGTTACAATTGAAAGACATCAATTTTTCTTGATTTAGATTTTCAAATGGTCCAGCTTTCACAGACATATGCTACAATTGGAAAAAAAACATTTCTATGACAGAGCATACTTTTGTTATCATATCTTTGTGCTTTAAATTTTAAAATCAAAATTTATTTAAGATTCAAGATAAATTTGATTAAACATAAGGACTAAGTAAGTGTCTTTTTTTCAGATAATTAAATCAGCTATTTTCATGAAGGTCCTGACAATACTACACATTTTTACTGAGATGTACGTTCAGCTGAACTCATAGAAACTTCCTCCCTTAGTAAGTATGCTTAAGGCTGCAGATTTAAATGACAAATGTAAATGTATTGGCAGATTGAATTGTAGAGCAGGCAAAATCTACTGCAGATGTTTGTGACACAGCATTTTAAGGAGGAGTTTTCAGATTTTGCATTGCTAGGACCACCTAAAATGATAAATAGTAAAGCTTGATTGCTGTAGGTAAGGGCCGCAATTCCCATGTCCAGTACTCCTATTTGAGAAAAGGATAAAAAGCTGGAGGCTTTGAGTGGAAACCACAGCATGCCATAACACAAGATAAAATTAGGCATCCTGATTCAAAAGGCAATTTTGGGAAAGAGAGTAAAGCATCCATAGTCTGCAAAAAAACACCACATATTGTTTTTCATGCATTTTATACCTCCTATATAGAATATCAATGCATTGTATTTCTGTAGAAGACAGCTTGCTATTCTTGCAACTCTGCTTCTGGGATTATGGATTTTGGGACAAACGGGTTTCTGGGCACAATCTACGGGTCAGTCAGTCATCTTCTCACTTCCTCTTCCTCCATGTAAATTACTCCTTCCCTAGGGACTCCTTTCTGTCTCAGAAGCATTTCATCCTTTGCAGCCTGTCTACCTGACTAAACATATGACACTTCCTTTGAATGTGTGCAGAGTCAAGTAGGCTTCTCTCCAAATAATTTGCTGTATCCTTAATAATCTTGGCCCTAAAGTTCAAGGCTGGACTGTGGCTAACCTGCAAGTTGACCTGCAGAATTAAAGCTTGTAGTGGACCTGACAAAAAAAAAATAGGAATACTGGTCACAAGAGGGAGAGCTGGGCACCTACTTTAGGTTAGATTGGGAAATGGTCCAGCAGGTTCATCTACAGGCCCAACTGGTGGGCAGAATCTGTTGTCTCAGTGGGGATCTTGTACTTTCAAAGCTCCCCTTCCATTTTTGAAATGGACATATATTATCTACTACCTAACAGGTTGGGGCAGCATGGCTAAAAGTTGTTTTTTCATGGATGGCATAGAAATCCTTCTTTTCCCCCAGCACAACTGGATCTATCTGCAGCCGGCGGCTTGCCCTTCTCTGACAAGAGTAGTGCATTTTTGCAAGAAAGGGATATGTCTGTGCCTTAGGCTTGTGCTCAGACCCAAAAGTTGATCTTGCTCTGGAATAAAATTCACAGATGCAACATTCTGTTGGCAAGTCCGTCCAAATGTGTGACTTCACCTCAGATTTGCTAATGGCACCACTGGGGATCATGAGAACCATTATGTTAGAAAAATAGAGCAAAGAATTCCCAAATTGACTGCTAGTGAATATATGGCTATGTCTCTTCTGGTTTTTTTTGACATCAGTATGGGTGTGATTTGTGATTGCCTTCTTACAGGATGCTTTTCCATTTTCCATGGCCCTGGGGTTTTCTGGTGATCTGTCATCTCAGTACTTATTAGATCTGATCCTCTAATACAATTATTATTGCTTTTATTATATTTATAAGGCTATCCAAATAGGAAGGATTATAAGTTATTAACAACACAATTCTTTACATAATTTTTTTAGAAATAAA